TCTTCCTAATATCATAATTTGATGTTTCTGCGTTATGGCCTCTGTTTGCCTGAACGCATTTGATCCTCAGCTGGGCCTTAGTTTCGTTGTATCCGTTTTGTACTTTTTACAACTGGGTGATTTCAGGACGTACGAACTGTATACACCCACGGTTGTCCTTGAACGCGGCGACGATGAATATGCTGATTCTTTCACCTAACCACTCATCGCTCTCCTTGATTATCTTGAACACTGATTCTGAATGATGGCCTTGGCGGGTTGGAACACTTCCAGCTTTCGTGTAGTCTACAACGAGGCCCAGTTTTTCAGGACGCAATTTATTATGCTGGTGTGCTGTCTGGTATGAGGTGCCGATTGTGAGTAAACGTGAAAATGGACAGACAGAAAATGCCGTCGGGCTCGGTTGAAACTAGGAGAGTAGTGCATTTGCTTCAACATACAACTTTATTAAAATACTATATTGGAGTTGACCAAACTGTGAAAAAACTCGAGGCGTTCGGCGGGATTTGAACCCGCGTATCAGAGAAGGCCTTTGCTGGAAGCCAACGCTCGAGTTTTTTTACAGTTGGGTCAATTTAAATCAAGCAAATCTGCCAAACCTAATAATTAAGTCAGCCTAGTAGTCATTCTGGTGGATTCTAGATGATTACTTAGGAAATCCTGCTTGGGCAGTCAGCTTGCTGTTGCGTATTGGTGGGTTCCATACGAGCGGTAAAGTTGGGCGGGTAATATCGACCCAGGTAAATCCATGACGCGAGGTGGGGCGTTTGCAGCTTAGCGCGTAGAGCGTTAGCTTCCGACAAAGGCCTTCTCCACTACGCGGGTTAAACTCCCGCCGAACGCTTCGAGTTTTTTCACAGTTGGGTCAACTCAAATTAAGCAAGTCTGCCAAACCTAATAAAATACTATGTGATTTGATATTACTTCACTCAAGGTAGGCATTGCACTGTTCATTCGTTGTATTTTACTACTCATAGTAATTTATTTGCAACTCGACATCCAGTAATCTCTCGCTACATCGCAGTAGACCTCCGCGGGTTAAATCTACCGCGAAGCTCTTGCTGGTTAGCAGGTTTCTGTGGACAGAACTTTGGACAAGATATAAGACCCATTGCTATATGGAGAGATGCCAAGTAGCATCGTGAGCGTTCTCAAACAAGCTTATATGGTCAGTGGGGTAATTAGCTTTGGAACTGTGGAGCAGATGAGACGCGAGCATGATTTCATACTGCTCAGTATTCCCGATCGCGTATCTATTTTCGACGATAAATATCTATTTCTAACAAGTCGTCGCTTGGAATTCAGGCTCATGCTAAACCTTTGCGCTCGCTCGGTCGTAACGCTCTGGTAGTTATTTTTCTCTTCGGTAGAAGGCGATTTGTCGAGGAAGGAGAGACTAAGAGAATCCGCTCGTAAGTGGCATTGATCAGTATCCCCTGGCCTGACACCGATGTAGAGACAGTTGATAAATTTGAAAATGCCAAAAAGCAGCGTGGAAATAACTGTCTCTGTTTTAATGTTGAACAAGTCTCATTCAACGTTATCCGTGGTCCCGTCGTCTCAATACATCTTTTACTCTGCAGAACACTCGACAACGACTGATCTTGGGTGATTCCATCACAGAAATGCGCAATTTATACTCAACTCTACGAAATCCACGAGCAACTCCTAGTAAACTAGCAGGTGCCTAGTTCAAAAGCAAGTCCTTGTACAGTTTCAGCCACTAAAACATCGAAGGAATTCATTCTCCCAAAGAGCACTCCCTTTTCACGATCGTGTGCCACTTCCTCAAACACTACGCGTTTCCAACTATTCCATACCTTATATCGAAGCCACTAGATCAAATGTGCCAATATTCTTGTCTATCAACAATGTGGCGTCTTAATTGGGCGATTAGGCGCCATATTTTTATTTCGCATTCTAATCAGCTAATATAGAGCTACCTCTATCGTCAATTAAGGAGGCTTTTGATAAAGACAGTATGTTTTTATGTAAGAGTGGTCACCGAAACCGTTAAAAGGCTTCCGAATATTTCATGGCCATGGCCGCGTCTTGCCTCATCTGACGACAGCGACTAGGCTGGGTCCTGTTTTAACAGGGTAGGAATGCCATTCTTTCCCCCCTCCCCCCAATTGAAGTACTGCGCCATCCACCCCCTAATGCATTCTCTCCACGTCCGTATTCAAAGTGAAGTCTTCATACAAATGTCCCTACTGTGCTGGTAAACTCACCCTTATTGATCACGGCACCGTTGACGTGGATATATGGGGCATTGGGATCAGTACCGGGCGGCGGTTGATGCATGACCACAGTTTTCTCCGTGTTGGTAGTGAAACCAAAATTGGCGCAGCTTGCGGCGAAGAGGTCCATACTCCTTTGCATGCCCGCTTCTGTTCTGGTGTTGAGAGCCCAGTCGTCCGCGAACAACAGATCATGAACTGTGGTCGGGGAGACACGCGTGGGGGCCTGCATTCGTCGGATGTTGGGGAGGTGTTCGTCCACTACTGTAGTTGATGCGGATTTCGGGAAGCTCGCCACGGAAGGTATGCATCAGCATGGCAGAGAACATGGGACTGAGGAGGTCGGGAGCGAGGACACAGCCCTGCTTCACTCCATTGGTCACTGCGAAGGCTTCAGACA